AAGATCCTTATTTATTCCAGTCAATTATCTGCACTTTGGTGACTATATTTATTTGTATGCTTCTAAATTTCATGGAGGAAAGTGTACTAGGTGCGTAGTCTATGTATCAGCATGTAGGAATCCGATGTCTCAATTAACGTTTCAGACGAAACTGCTGTCTCCATATTCAGGGTTAGAATAAAAAATGTGACGACGTTATTTTACCAAATTTCTCGACGCAAGGGTAAAGTTCTCTATGTCGCAATATCGACTACGCTACTCCGGCTCCCTCAGTGTTGTTTGTGAGCCTCAGTTTAAAATTTCTTGCCCGTCTCAATGCACAGCCCATGACAGACATTCTAATGAAGCAAGCGTGGTGAGTTCTCGGCAGAGGTCGTTGTCGGTACTGCTGACATTACATTAAAAACTTTCCACGGTCTAATCATAACATTCAATAATAAAGAAAAAAAAAACGTGGTTCAAGAACCTGTTCCGAATAAGTAATTTTCTCGCGGAAGGCGACGTGACAAAAAGGGGCTTGTTTGCAGATCCATTTGCTGCGCCAAATTAGTACTACATGTATACAAGCCTGTTCAGCGCGTTCAGCTTCAGCGACTTCAGCGCGATGTCTGGTATATGTACAACTGCGAACCACCGTGAACTATGGTGCGACAATGGGTAATATTGACGTTGTGGTTCATTACATTGTGTATGTAAGTTGTGTGCATTATTTAGGGAATAATTACGATCATTCTAAAGAAATTATATTTCGTTATACTTTGACAAATTGTTAGAAACAAATACCGTTGCGTTTCGTGATATAATTCCGTTCTTTGCAAGTTCTACTTGGGATTTTTCTAAACATCTCAGCGCCCTTTCTGAGCGTCGTGTTCCTATTATGCATATTTTTACTGTTTATACTGTATATCTCCTGTTGCACATACAATTCCGACTTATACATTACATTACAATACATTACAAAGGAAGTCTTGAGAGCGGACGGTTTATGGTGAACTGGTTGAAGTTGCAGGCTCCGCGATATAAAAAAATGAACAGCCCGGTTGGCCAATCATACAGAACACCACACCAGACATTGACACTGAATCGGTGTTGAAAATTCGATTCTATCGTGGCACGGGGATTATTGTCTGACCAAACATGTAAGTTGTGATTGTTGTTGACCCCGTCCCGTGTAAACTGTGCCTCATCGCAGAATATTATCAAGCGGTACAACTGCCGATTTCCATTTAATCAGTTGCAGAACTGCAGACGAAGAGCACGGTCTCCTGGCTGTAGGTGTTGTACTTGCTGTAAATGATAAGGATGCAGACCGTTCTCATGAAGTCCTCCACGTCATGGACTGAGAAACACCGAACCGCCGAGCTAGACGTCTTGTACTGGCATGCGAACTGCGCTCTACAGCATCGAGAATGTTTTCTTCTTCGCACAATTCATGTTGAGGATTTCGTTCGTATTGTATACGAACGCTGGGGAGAGAACCAGTTTGTCTTAATGTGTTATATGTAGTGCTAATGGATTCAGGATTCGGAATCCTGCTATTAGGACAACGCAGGTGATATTCGGCAGCAGAGGCTCTCGCATTTCCATCACATACACCCAAAACAAACATCATATCGGCGTATTCCTCAGTGGAAAATGTGTACGGCAACTTAACTTCACAAGTCACCAACACAACGTCCTGTTTACGACTGGATCGCTCTGCCTACCTACGTGCAACATTCCAGCCGGTCTGCCTTATCTGCTGACAGAGCTGACTGGAACTCATGGTCTCCCAGTCCGGAGGAGGGGGGGGGGCAGCGCTGCATTCACACTAATGTGTTTCGAAAATCCATTGTTACTCCGTAACTATTGAAAATCGACCACAAGTTTATAAGGAAATTTTGCAGGAAATAACCCCAGGAATATGTACCATAAGCCGGGGTAAAACTTCGTGAATCACTCTGTATATAAGAATGTTGTTTATGAAGTAACAGACGCCTTGCACAAGTCTTTTTTCTTTTGCCTAAAGAGCTTTGTAACTGACTTCGGGTATTCTCTTTTGCTGTTCTCAGACAGAATGACATTAAGGGAGGAACACAGACTGGGGGTGTTTGAGAACAGGGTGTTGAGGGACGAAGTGTCAGGAGATTGGAGAAAACTTCATAATTAGAATCTTCATAAAGTGTACTCTTTGCCAAGCATAATTCAAATGATCAAGTCAGGGAGAATGATACGGGCAGGGAAGTGTAACCGAACCATTGAAATCCTTCCCCCCCTCTTTTTATTTCAGTAGTTATAAAGTAGAATTATGAGAATTACAAAGAAACATAGGTTAAGACACCGTCAGAACAAGCAGATAGACCGAACTTGCGCGGGCAAGGACATCTGTTAGTTTTTGCTTCCAAGCATCTGGGGCTGTTTCGAAAAGGGCAGAAATGATACTTCATGGAACCCCCACTGAGTTTCTTTAGAAATTGAGAAGTTGACTTACGGCGGCAAGACACTTTGAGAATTCGAGACGTGACAGTCGCCACCCGTCATAAGTCAACAGTGGGAGGGCCAGGAGTTCATTAGCGACCCCTCGTAAGTTACATCTCTGTCAATTTCGCTATTTGGGATTTTAGGCCGAAACTGCTTCTAAAACAATCGGTCATTGGCCGGAACAAAAATTAAGCCAACTCCTCTTATTTGAATCCACCTATCCGGGAATTTAGGAGGAGAAGAGAGGAGGCGGATACAATTAAGTTAGGACCTCTGGCTCGGCAGAGAGTCCAGTTTAAGATTAAGGAGTCTGCTAAAACTTTCGGACGTGGCGGAGGTAAACCCCGCGAATATACTTACTAAATAATTTGAGCAAGTACAGCACCGGCGGCTTGGAAGCCGAGACTGGGCCTTATAGTGTAGATTTTTGACTCCGAGTGACTGTGAGAAACAATAAAGTGTTCCAGTGGCAAAGTGCATTGTGTTGGTCAGAAGTGCTTCACCCTCACTTGTCCGAGCCTGACCCTTAGCCGACCTGAGGAGAGAACTCATCGCCAGGAGCTAACCAAACCCATCGCCAGCTTCCACCCCACTCACGCCTTCCCTCCTTTAAAATGAATCGCAAACAGCACCTAGCTGTTTGCTGGCGCCCATAATATCAGGTCCTATACGGGAAATCCCAATTCCGTAATCAGCAACGGAAGGAGGAAGCGGTGGAGCCGGAAGAAACGGTGGAGCCTGGTCAAGCCGGAACCAGCCACGACCTAACAACTTCAACGGAGGCAGCACCAGGTAGGGCAGTCAAAGTGACAAGTGGCAACCACCTTGTGGGCAAGAAGCCTAAAAGAGGGTGGGCGGTTAGAGAAGGGGAAGATAATGAATTCATGTAGACTTAGGTGGGAAGATGATATTAAAATTGATTTTAGAGATATAGGATAGGATAGTATGGACTAGAGACATGTGGCTCAGGATAACGTGCAGGGTAATTCGCATTGGACCAGTGATTTGATACTATAGATCCTTCTAACTAGCCAAATTGGTGGCCCCACAAATTTCCACTTGACGAAGGAATCAAAAATAATTATCGAAAGATCGTGTTATTTCAAATTGTAGACAATAGAAAAAGGCCAGACACAGCACCCAGAATTATTTTTGCGAATTGTGCTATCTTCTGGGAAGCAGGAATGCGCATTCTGGTGGAAGCTGTCCAAAATTTCGCAGGAACCCCGGAACTCTGCTTGCCTACTCATTCCGGGTAGTTTTTTGTTTGGCTTCCTTTTCGAAGTACGCTTTTGGGAATTAAAAACTGGCAACCAATGACAGCGTCGTTAGCTGATAGTTAGTTGACAACGTGTACACTCCTTCAAACATGTAACTGCTTATGGTAAATTTTACTAAAGCCTGTCTCCTAAATTTCTTCTTGCTTTTCTCAAAAGCTGTCGCTAACACAACTCTCTCTGACCGGACCTTCCACGCCTGAATCAATTATTTCCTCATTTAGCTGGTTGAGAAACCATGCTACAAGCCAGAAGGTCGCAGGTTCGGTTACCGATGAAGTCACTGGATTTTTAAATTGGTCAGTAAATTGAAACTATCTACAAATATTGGTTACAGTGAATTAGAAATCGTAGTCTCTTTCGGCCATAATAAATTTTCGTTCCATTGTACCACATGGGTGGGTAAATGATCGGATTTGTATGTTTCCTATTTCCAGATACTAACACTTCTTCTACTAGAGATGTGGCTTTGTTGCTTATGCTTCTTAACGTCCCATAAATTTACTTCGTGCACAAATGTTGTAGAATTGTAAGCATTCAACTCACTCCTATAGAAGTTCAGATGTAGATGCGTGCAGTTCGTCCTCTCTCTGCTATAACAAGCAACATCGTGGCGTGCTACATGTCACATTATCTTCTCTTAGACTAAACCAAATATTATTGCTCTATGATTTGCTGCATATCACTGTGTGAGGGTAGATGTGTCTTCAGATCACTGAATGACTTATTGCACACGTCACAGTATAATGGCCGCTCATCGCTATGTATGCGTTGGTGAGTCTTCAAATTACTCTTATGACTGAATGACTTCTTGCACACGTCACAGCAAAGTGGCCGCTCCCAGCTGTGTATTCGTTGGTGAGTCTTCAAATTACACTGCCTATTGAATGACTTCTTGCACAAGTCACAACAAAATGGTCGCTCCCCGCTATGTATGTGCTGATGTGACTTCAGATTATCCTGACGAATGAATGTCTTATTGCACAGGTCACAGCAAAATGGCCGCACATCGCTATGTATTCTTTGGTGAGTCTTCAAATTACTCTGCTGACTGAATGACTTCTGGCACAACGTCACAGCAAAATGGCCGCTCCCCGCTATGTATGCGTTGGTGAATCTTCAGATTACTCTGAACATAGAATGACTTATTGCACACATCACAGCAAAATGGCCGCTCGCCGCTATGTATTCGTTGGTGAACCTTCAAATTACTCTTCTTATTGAATGACTTCTTGCACACGTCACAATAAAATGGTCGCTCACCGCTATGTATGAGCAGATGTGTCGTCAGATTATCCCGACGAATGAATTTCTTCTTGCACAGTTCACAGTGAAATGGCCGCTCATCGTTATGTATGCGTTGGTGAGTCTTCAAATTACTCTGCTGACTGAATGACTTCTTGCACACGTTACAGCAAAATGGCCGCTCCCCGCTATGTTTGCGTTGGTGAGCCTTCAGATCCTTCTGAAAACGGAATGACTTATTGCACATGTCACAGCAAAATGGGCGCTCGCCGCTATGTATGCGTTGGTGACTCTTCAAATTACTCTGCTGATTGAATGACTTCTTGCACACGTCACAGGAAAATGGCCGCTCGCCGCTATGTATGCGTTGGTGAGTCTTTAAATTACTCTGCTGACTGAATGACTTTTTGCATACGTCACAGCAAAATGGCCGCTCCCCGCTATGTTTGCGTTGGTGAGTCTTCAGATCACTCTGAACACGGAACGACTTCTTGCACACGTCACAGCAAAATGGCCGCTCGCCCCTAAGTATACTGTAATGTGTCTTTAGATGGCTCTGCCGACTGAATGAGTTATTCCTGATTTCACAGGAACGTGGTTGCTTCTCACTGAGCGCAGGTTGAAGTTTATATGGGATAGTCTGCAAAACGAGAAGAACTAATATGAATAACCCTCTTACGATAAGAAATACATTTGCAATCGAAGTACATATGGAAGTTAAAGGTGTCGCCGAAAGGAAGGCGGAGAGAGGGAGGGCGTGAGTGCACGCTAACGTGTCCTTCAGTTTTCATAGCAATTTGTAAGAGGTAAAGTTGTCGCTGTGCTTAATTAAATAAACACTGAGCCATGAAGACGTAAGAGTATGTTGGAGTGGATTATCACGATTTCTTGGCCCCGGCTCTAGTTGAAGGTGAGTGGTCAGCTTCACGCACCGGCCGCTTAACCCCCCCCCCCCGCCCGGGAAAGGCGCCCGGTGCCCATGAGATAGGAGGTTGGGTGGACCCAAGATCCTGCCTAGACAACATGGAGAAGTGAAAAATGTTGCCCCTACTGGGACTCGAACTTCGACCCCTAGATCTTCCGACCCGTAGCTAGTGGCTATACCGACTGCGCTACCCGGATCACACAGTATGTGAGGGAATAAAAGTAGAGCTACACTTCCATTGCGAAACAAATTACAAAATGAAATAATATTATGCATTTGTAGGCCGCCTCTGTGGTCTAGTGTTCAGAGTTCGATTCAGGCGCTACTAAATTTTTTCTAAGAAGTAGTGGGTTTGGAACAGGGTCCACTCAGCCTCATGATGATAATTGAGGAACTGCTTCAAGGCAATAGAAACTCCGGTCTAGAAAACCGAAATTAATGGCCGTGGGTTTTCGTTGCGCTGACCACGCGACACCCTCTATCCGCTAAAATTTGACACTAACTTCGCCGACAAGCGGTGGTCGCTCGGTCGGTATAGTTCGTTTGTGGACTGAATCACGGCGTTTCTTTAATGCACTTTTAAGGCTGTACAGTGGTCTTGTTAATGACGGAGTTGAGGAATGGTTTGAGGATATGAATGTAACAGAGCCCGTTGCACTGCGATACTGTGAATGTACCCATGTCAGTCTCCTCCTAGAATGCCATTGTACATTCCTCGGCATACGTGCAACACCAAGTTCCACAATCTTATCACCTTTACAAGTTCAAAAGTTTATTAAATTTTCAAAATACACTACATGATCCCGCCAACACGGCCATGATCAGGTGTTGAATATATCTAATGAGGTCGCTGCTTTCCTTGTTGCTGATGCATTTGCTGTCCCTCTGATGCGTGACTGTAATATGTGCGATTTTTTTTGTATTTGAATTCATGTATGTGAAATGCTTTGTGTGTGATATGGTTATTTATTTGAGTATTCACTGTGGTTGATGTGTTATGCCCCTCCTTTTTGTGTTCTTCATTGCGTGTCTTGAACCTGAATGTTTAGCGGGTTTGGACTTGAAATACGAGTATATTGGTCACTATCTCTTGTTTAAATTTTGTATTACGTCGAATATTGGGTTATGGGTATCATTGTATGTGTCATTTATCTGCAATCGTTTTTACTCATCTTATTTTTTTCAATGGTTCTTTCAACCCATTCAGGGCCTTGGCCTCTTATTCAGTTCCGTAATCATTTTTCATAGACGGTGGGTCTCTTTGGAGGAGTGATCAGGCCGTCGCAAGGCCTCTACCTAAACACAAGACAGCATAAACACAGAATAAACGGATACACACACCAAACACCCATGCTTTGATTGGGATTCGAACCCACGATGCCAGCGTCCGAGCGAGCTAAGACAGTTCGTACCTTAGACCGCGCGTCTACTGTGACCGCCTTACTAGTATTATATAGTATACGGCATTTTCCCAGTGTGTTGAGATGTTTTCCTTTTTTCTGTTTTCAATATTTTCATGGTAATAGTTATACCTTCATATGTACGTCCTGTATTTATTGTGTGGTTGGAGTATACTGAGTTTATATTATTAACCACTTCTGACTCCAAATTATCATGTGTCCGGGGTTCCTCGACAAATAATTGCAGATTCTTAGTTCCGATTGTTGGGTTTATTGAACGATACTAACACAATTATACTCAATTATAACAGTTCACACACTTTCTGTGTTGTCTCCTACTTCTCTTCTGAACTGTGCTTATAACTGTTGGTTTATATTCCGATTTCGAAACAGTCCTCTCACGTCTATGTGCAATTCTGACCTGTTTCATAACTGCTTGGCTTGCCGACTAGGGAACACAGAATCGAACATTTCATCCCTCCGTTGCCATGAAAACGTTACCTAGGTTGTGTAAGAAACGTGACTGCCGGGCCGTTGTCTATCAATGGACTTCCGTTCTGGCTCAGATATTACGACATTTAGGCGGCACGTCACATTATGTTCTTTGTATTTGGCCCCTTTTCCCTGTAAATTTTAGTGCGAAATCCATACAACTCATTTGTTATACGCCACTTTTTTCATACTCGTCTCTTTGTAGGCGAGGCTTTATTGGGTTATATATATATTTTTTTTTTCGGATTGCGGTCTTGATATTTGCTTCTTTGAAAAGATTAGTGATTTTTCTTTTTTAATTTGTTTTCATACCCGCACACAAACTAGCGAAGTATCTACAGCATTGCTCAATTGCCGAAACCTGCCCAATGTCTATAACGCCCAAAACGCTTACATATAACTACAGACAAATTAACGAATGTGTTAAGCAATGTGTTCATTCGATATATAGAATATGTGTACTAACATACCAAAAATAGAAGTCGTCAATATAATTGAAACATTATAGAGAACGTTACAGAAATCACCAAAACTGATCAAGAAGAAATAATGAACATATTAAAACCAGTTACGGAAGAAAATTATTTCCAATACAATCAACAATATTTGATACAGACAGAAGGATTAGAAATAGTTGCTCATACTTCCGCCATATTAGCCGAGGTATATATCCAACACATGCAGCAAAGTCAACTGTACCAAGTCCTAAAAACACCAACTAATGGGATATTTCAGACACGTAGAAGATATTCTTATAATATACAAACAAAAAAGGCTAACATAGATGAAACACTAACCGAATTCAACAAACAAACAAACAAACAACTACTATAAAATTTACTATCGAAAAGAACGGAACAAAATAGCGCATGCGCTTCTGATGGGAAGCATTTTCTCTCGGGAAAGTTCATAGTCCATAGAAGGGATCGTCGGAATTGCGGGGAATTGTCACACACAGCGTTTCCAGTACTCTTGCACTCTATATACAGAGAAATGGATAACAAAGACTCAGATAGGCGTGACTCCCTGTATTACAGAACGTGTTTATAACATACTTCATATGAGTATGAAACACGCAGAAGGTGGCAAAATTGTCCTCAATCAGGCTGGAAATGTTAAGTGTTCATTGAAAAGGTATTGTTGAAAGCTGGGCGGAAATAGTGTGATGGGTACAGAACGAGACATGCCTCCTCAGGGTGCCTGAAATTTCTCCGGATTCTCCACGCGTAGAAGCTCAGGACAGCCGGAGCAGTAGATACAAGTGTTTGTGTAGGTCACTGTGTTTAGGCAGTATTTATAACAGTCTGAACTTTGTTCAAATCTGTCCGTTTTGGAGTGGAACTTTTTAATTCTTAACCCAATTTCTGCTGTTAGGGGGCCAGGCTGTGCACAGATAAGACAGGTACGTATGGATGAAATGTAAGCGTGAAGAGCACAGCTGATTCTGCATGTATTGAATGAGGCGGATGGACTGATACTGGGATGGTGTGGGATGTAGTGAACCGCTGCTACTCCGGTCTTCACCCTACCACCTACAACCATCATGAAGTCGGGAGAAGTTCAACGCCACAGGCTCTCGCGTCGTGTTCACAGTGCTCCCTAAGGTCGTCGCAGGGAATCCAAGCTCGCAGCGGAGGGCCTATCAGAAGTTATAAAAGATCGCCCATATAACAATAACAAGATTTAATGTGAACAAAACGCAATATAAAGCACTACAAGAATATACAAAAAAGAAATAGAACATTGCGGGAATATAATGGCCCTGACAACCTAACATACACGGCTGATTTCAGGCCTATACTTATCTGCACTTCGCGGCATCAAACTGAGCCGACATGCCCAGTTCCACTGGCCCACTTACACCATGTACGGAAGTCGTTACACCACAACACGACTTCACTACTGCACCTTGCTCAGCCACAGGCGGCCTCCCCAAAAATACATATACTAACTAAACAACCCCGCGTGTCGCCACCATACCTTTCCCCTGACGTCTGCGGCCAGCTCCCGACTACACAGACTCTAGATTTAGAAAAACCCCGCCGAACTGAAATTTAGAAATTCCTCCCGCTGGTCCGCCAACGTCCTCTCCCGAGTGTATCCACTATCAGATCAGACTACACCGCTGCTCCCAAAACAAATTTCCTTCAGAGACACACATGGTTATAAAGGAAGAGGAAAAACCACTTGGTATGGGTGAGGAGGAGGGGGTAAGCTCTAGTTCAACGAAAACGGGTAGCGTGGATGATATGACTGGATGCCATGACGTCACGGAAGGAAGCCGTTGCTTCAGCACGGCTCTGTAGGATGGTGTTGATATCTCCTGCTCCGCGACAGACCCCTGCTCAGCATGTACTCTGCTTTCGCAAAAGAATTCTCACGAATGTAGGCCGTTCAATATAGCAGTACTTCGTAAAGCGAGGAAGACCTGTATTAGTGAAATCGGCCTAACATGGACACAGAGGAACAGCTCACCTCAGGTTCAACCTTTACTCCTCCTGGATATGTTATTGCCTGAGGACCCTCCTCTGCTTCTGAATCTGACGGTACCTCAGCTTTCACGCTGATGGCCTGATATGCATCTTGAGAAGCTGCTGGTGACATCTTACTACACAGACTTCGTTCTTTCTCCGAGTCTGTAAGGTTCTGTAGAACAATCAATGC